CAGCACCGACGGTTTCGTGAAACCTGCCGCCGGCGTCTGCGGATGGATGGAGTTCTGGGACTATGCCGGAGGTGCAAGTTTCAGAGCATTTGTGGCCGACGATGGCGAGGAGAGAAGTCTCTTTGCCTTCTTCGACGCAGGATTGATGGGAAGAGATCTCAAGAAGGCGTAAGCATATCCTAGCTCCTAATGGATTAGTCATGATCTTCAAAGCTAACACATGTCTAGATTGATTGCCTTTATGGATCTCGCCGAGAATCCCTACTTTGACTGCTCTCAGGTAGTCATCTGCCTTGACAGATTGATTCCCGAAGAGGATGCCAAAAGTTTGATGAGAAGTTTCCAGTGGGTCGGGTTCGAACTTACCGCTCTTGACCACTGGGCCAAGGATCTCGATGTGACCAGCGACAAGTGGTTGTTCATGGCCATGGAGGTCTGATCTGATTTCATTCTGTCTTGTTCCGGCGTTCCGAACTCGCGGTTGGTTTTCATGATTCAGCATCTCCTTTTGTCCTGCCCACTTGTGCTGCGTTTTCTTCTCTTTCGTCCATGACTTGGAAAACCCTTGATCCAGTCGAATATCGCAGATCCTGGACCGTGTGACCGTTCATCTGTTGATCCGGAACAAGCTCTCAAAAAAACGTCCCGGTGCGGATACGGATCGGACGGCAAGTCTGTCTTCTCATTACATCTCTGGTCGCCTCTTTACAATCTGCACTTGACCTAGCAATCTGCGCATTTCGGGCATGTAACTGGTGAAATGGAAAAGTCCGGTTCTACCTTGTGAGCACCTCTTGACACAGCCAAGCTTCAGACTCACGGTTTCAGAACCATATGCAGCGTTTCGTTTGGCGTTATAGTTCCATGATTGCAAGGAGTTGGGGGAGTTCTCAGTGATAGCATAGGTAGTTGGAGCTCTAAATGTGATGATCATTAATACACATGGGTTCCCAAAACAAAAAGGCCTCCAGTCTATCTAGTCTATATCATAATTGCTGACCTTTTTTAACAAGCCTCACTACTATCATCAGTTGAGATACCCATATCGACCAAATCGTGAAGCGTGACGTATGTTTCATTGTTCCTTGTTGTGATTGTCTCTTTTTCTTTTTCGAATCCCAATACCATCATCCCGAGCAGATGCCGCTTATAGGTGACCCTCGAATTGCCGTACTTCCAGGCCCTTCTCTGCCAAGTGATCCTTGATCTGCTTGACTGTATACTCGCCACGGTGGAAGATGCCAGCACCCAGAGCAGCATCCGTCCTCGTCTTGGCAAAGACCTCTTCAAAGTGGGACGGGTTGCCGGCGCCGCTCGAGGCGATGACGGGGATCTTGATGGCGCCCTTGACCTGGTTGATCAGCTCGAGGTCGTAGCCCGAGTTGGTGCCGTCCTTGTCGATGCAGTTGAGCAGAATCTCTCCGGCGCCCATGGCCTCGACGGCCCGGACGACCTCGACGACGTCCATGTCCCTCGTCTCGCGGCCGCCCTTGATGGTGCACGCGTACCAGCAGAACTCCTCGCCCTTGGGGCCGGGGAACGCCGTCCGGATGGTCGCGTGGCGGGTGGCGTCGATCTTGGGCACGTAGACGCGCTTCGGGTCGATGGAGATGACGACGGCCTGGTTGCCGTAGGCCTTGGAGATCTGCTCGATGGCCGTGTTGCCAAAGAGCTTCTGGCCGACGTTGTAGTACTCCTCGGCGGCGAGCACGGCGTCGGATCCTATCGAGACCTTGTCGGCGCCCGACTTGAAGTACATGGTCGCGATCTCGAGCGCCGAGACCTTGGTGCCGTCCGTGTCCACGGTGTCGCGGATGCCGCCGCCAATGGTCAGGGGCACGAAGACGGTCTCGGACGTCCGGCGCAGGATCTCCAGCATGGGGAGATCGGCAACGGGGCAGTCGCGGAACGACGTGATGTTCAGGAACGTCACCTCGTCGGCGCCTTGCTCGTAGTACTTCTTGGCCATCTCGACGGGCTTACCCAGGTTCCGCACGTCGCCGCCGTCCGCCTTCTCGCGCACGTCGTACTGGTCGCCCTTGGTCACCACCAGATCGCCCTGGTCGTTCGTCCGCACGTCCAGGCACGCAATGACCCGCTTCGTGAGGCCGCCCGTCGGCTCGAGGCCCCCGACGACCTGGCCCAGCGTATTGGCGCCCTCGCCCGTGAGGAACGACTTGAGCACCCGCAGGCCCGCCACGCCGCTCTTCTCGGGGTGGAATTGCGTCACCAGGATGTTGTCCTTTGCCACGGCGCCGACAAACGTTTCACTCCCGTACGTGCCCGTCGCGACCGTCCAGCCCTGGCCCTCGAGCTCTCCTTTTACATATGGGTACTTGTATGTGTGGACGTAGTAGTATTTGCTATCGGGCCTCAGGTCGTACAGGCTCTTGCTGCTCGAGTTGGCGCTGTTCCAGCCAATGTGCGGTACCGCCTTGTCGGAGTCGTCGAACCGGTCTAGCTTGCCGTCGATCAGTCCCAGCCCGGCGACCTCGGGGTCCTCCAGCGATCCCTTGAAGATGGCCTGCAGGCCGACGCATATTCCCATGAACGGCTTGCCGGCCGCGATGTGCTCCTGGATCGCAGGGAGGTAGCCGGCCGAGGTCAGTTGCGAAAGGCAGTGACCAAAGTGACCAACGCCCGGCAGGATCAGCTTCTCAGCCTTGGCGACGTCGGCGGGCGATCTAACCCAGGAGACTGTATAACCGCATTTCTCGATCGCATTTACGAGGGACCGCACGTTGCCGGCGACATAGTCGAGCATGTGGACTTCAGGCATATTGGCGGTGTTTGGCGGGTCGAATAAAGAGATGACTAGTAGTTTGTAATATGTAAGAGAAGATATCAATCGCCCGTAGCTCCAAGAAAGAAGAAGAAAATGTTTGTCAACAAATCAAGATTTATATGCAGTCGCAACACTTCAATGTTCAGAGTCACAGTCGAAGTCGGACTTTTAGTGAGTCAATCTTTTGCAATGGAGGGGCAGTCAAAAAGACCCCGCTACCTTACGCGTAGGTACCAAAGCCATTGACCAGCGAGGTCATAGGGCGTCAAGGGCGCCAATCGCCAAGGGCAGTCAGTGTTCTGCCAATTTCTACCGCCCGGCGCTTGTCCCTGTAACGGTGCCTGCAGGGGTTTAGGCTTTACCATTTGTAGCCCCAGGCTATCGACTGTGGGGAGCTTTGCCGATCCGCCCTTCACGCCGACAACTTCTAGCAGGTGAAGCTCGCCCAAATTGCCGTGCATTTCCAATCAGCCATTGCAGCCAAAACATTCACCTTTTGCGGATACTCAGTTCACCAGGAATCATCTTGGCGTGAGCCCATCTAAATGCGACAAATCAGTACTGCCTCATTCCACTTTCACCGTTCAGATGGCTACGGCTAGTATTCAGGCCTCGACGGCCAGCGGAAGCAGAGAGACTGCAATTTCCCAAGATCATGAAAACGACTCGGAGTATGAATATGAATACTCCACAACAGAGACAGAGGTACGTAACAACCTGACCAGCTTGAGGAATGCCCTTCTCACAGCATTTTAGACATATTATGTGACACTGGACATCTCCAAGGCGGACTTTGTTGCGCGTCCGCAGGCTACACTGCCTAGTGGGCGTGGGAGCTACAAGGAAAGGGCCTTCACAGACGTTTCTGCCAGGAGACCAGATGGAATCATAGACACATGCAAGCAGAAGCCGAAGAAGATGCATCCGGAAAAGGCTGCAATCATTACAGAGGCCGAGGAGCAGGCCGAGCAGGCCGAGCAGAACAAGCCGCCCCAGAGCAACGAGGCAGAGGACCAAATCGATATCAACGACTTTCAGATATTGGAGCTCCACTCCGAGCACCCGCTGATCGCATATCGTGGCCGCGTCTACGAGGGCCACTGGGCTCGAAACATTGGTACCGAATTCCTCTTTGCCAAGCGCAATGAGGACAGCCCACTGCCGGCGATTCGGCAGCTCGATAAAGGTGTCGACTTGCTTGCAGCGAGCTCGGCGCGCATCATGCTGACGGAGATGGCGGTCAAGCCGTACGATACCAAGGGTTACAGAACGCTCAAAGACCGCTACGAGAATGGAGGAGACCTCTCCGGTTCGGAGAGCGAAGCAATACCGGCCGTGCCAGATCCGGAACCCGGAGCTTCGGCTGAGAGATACGAGCAAGGCGATTTCTTGTCCAAGCTGATTGCACTCAAGAAGCAAAAGGGCGAAACAGACGAGGTCACCGTCATCGCCCGTCTGCATGAAGAAGGAAAGAAGAAGGCCGGCGCGAAGAAACCAAAGGTCCCGCGGCGTCGGGGTCGGAAGCAAACCAATCCTGATGGGCCCGGTCGCGGTCGTGGTCGCGGCAGAGGGTCGAGAGGAGGCAGAGGGGGCGCGGGCACGGGCAGAGCTAAGGGCGATGCTCGTTCGCGGAACGCCGACCTGCCTGACGATGGATCGATGGTACCAGATCCCTCCAGCGCAGTCTCGGCCCCTATGGACGATCAAGATGCACCATCGAAGGATCGGGAAGATATAGAGATGGTTGACGCATGAATGACAAGGCAATGATCTGTTATGCTGACGTTTGTCTACCGCATCAGCCAAATATAGTACGTCTCTTCGAAGTCAATATATGGCGCAAAGGTTTACAAATCACAAACCTGTAATAAAACCCTCCTCAACTTATGCCATCGTTATCTTTGCTCCTTTTTCAACTTGTATCGTCTATGGGGCTTATGATACGAAAGATGATGATCTGAAGATCCCTGTGTCGTTTATGTCAGACTTGGCGATCTTTGATCACAACCCTCTGCAGCAAGGAAATCGCCTTTAATGCACAACTCCGTTACACAGTTGCTCTGCATACAAACGACCTATTCAATAAATTCAAAGTCTAGATCTTGTCTACAATAATTCTGGTCAAATTACTCCTTCGATTGTGCACCCCTGTTAGTTTATGTTTGCTTCGGAGATTACATCAGCACATCGGAGTTAAGCGTTCCGAGCTAAGGAGGCGCCTGTAGTATAATGGTTATTATTCTCGCCTTCCATTGAGTTAGCGAGAGACTCGGGTTCGATTCCCGACGGGCGCATCTATTTTTGCCAACTTTTTGCATTCGTGAAGTATGTGTTTGTGGTTGGCAAGTTGCAACTTTTTGGTTGTGTGCCTGAAGTCAGATATCTGAGTGAGGAGCAACGTTGGTACTTAGCTCAAACTTTATCAAGCAGATCAACGTATAACAATGCTGGCTTTTTTTCTTGATCACACGTTTACCTTTGCTCTCAATAGTTTTCTCTCCCCCTTTACCATTGGGCCTTGATTACAAATGCTTTCTATCTTCACCGACATCATGATGCTCGACGTCTTTCTAGCCGAACTTGAGAGAGGCATCGAATCCTGAGCGGACTGCAGCGCCCAAGGCGTCTTACGCGCGGATCATCGAAGGCGACTCGTGGAGTGCCTGGTATGAATTCAACAACATGCACGACGAGATACGGCGGCCGTGATCTATCGACTGCACATTCTTCTTGTGACTCATCGGCTACACGGCAGCGTGACACAGGAAACCTTAAAAGGCGAGCACTGCAGGATGGAGACAGCCTCGTCTCCCATGGCCTTCGGATTCCCAAGAAGGTAGCACCGACGAGAGGGGAGGGCGAAGCTGGCCTTCTGTGCGGTGCAAATGGCTGACCTAGATTGCATTGGTACACGACATTGACCCGTGTCTTGATCGACGCAAATGCATCAGTATGTGTGCCTTGCAAAGTAACGGGACGTATACATACTGTAGAAAGCAGGTACAAAGTATCGAGATGCGAGGCTTTGGAAGCTTGGATGACGTTCGAGGCAGCCAATGAGTTTGTCTCGCGGATTGCTGTAATAGTTCTGGCCCCCACGTGGAATTTAGCATTGTGTTCATGTCCCGAGAAATGCATGAAGATTGATTGTGCATATACTCGTGCTTGTGGTAGCAGAGGCGAAAAAAACGTGGCACCAATCTTGATACGGCGGTTCCAGCCAATGAATAAGTATAGAAGCGACTGCATACGTGCCCGAACCCCTCACGCAGCTGGGCTTGGACTGGTATATAATACTACAGCGATGGGCATCTAGAGGCTGAAATGAGCAATACGTTCATATTCTTCACCGAAGAGAATGACCGGGTCAAGGCCAGTAATCATCGAGACAAGACGGTGTTCTCCTGCTTCTCCGAGATATATACGTGTAGCCTCGTTGGGTTCAACTAAGGCTGACAGTTACCAAGACGCAGAAGAGGTCAGCTACCCTTGCCTTCTCGACAGATGATCCTGTCCATCTCTCCGCTCGATCCACCTATGAAGCATGCATACAGAAACGTGCGCGGATCCTATGGACTGGCCCAGGCGGCAAGGCAAACATATAGCGTGTATGTATAGCCGTTGCGCATGCCTTGTCGATCTTTTCCCACGGACAGCGAGGACCTGGAAGGAAACAAGAAGACAGACTTGTCTGCCCTGTAAAGCATGTCCAATGGTTGCAAAAAAGGGTACGCACGGCAGCGGAATGAGCAGCAAGCAGAGCCGAGTAAACCGGAGGAAAGCCGCGCCCTTTTCGTCAATTGACCCTCTTCTATCCTTGATGCGACCACCTACCTAGGCATGGTCAACCGAGAAAGAAGGCAGTGGATCCTCGATGAAGTATAACCAATGAAAGACCCTTGACGAGGGCGGCTATACAACCAGTACCCCAGATCTATGCATCGGCCAGGCTCCTTTAGGCAAACAGCAGGCAAACAGACGCGCAAAAGAATGAGGCTCTTTGCTAGGCGAACTGGTTCGCCCTGTCAGATGCCTTTTTGGCGTCTCGCCTACGCTGCCAATGGGGATGGGGAACTACAAGGTCGAACCCCTCGGAGGTCTGTCTGGGTTGCATCAGCTCAAAAACGACCATAGTCACTCGATCAGGTTCGAGGGAAACTTGATCTCGTCTTTCGAGGCAGGTCAAAGTGGCGCAGGGTTTCTGCTGGACTAGGCAACCACTCGCCAATCATCAGCACTGATGACGCTGCGTAAAGAAGGGGAAGAAGAAGAAAAGAGCGCAGCAGCAAATGGCACGCGGCATCCATCTTTCTCGTCATCAGCACCGAATTCCGCTCTTGTGCCCATCTTATTTCTCCGAGAAGCCAAAAAGTCCTCCGATGTGCTGCATCAATACCCACAACACTTGCAGTATCGAGGGCAAGGCGCAAGAGTCTTTCTCGGCCATCACGATACAACAGTACACACTGCTGTGCTGAAAGCAGCCAGCCGAGTGAGTGGGATTGTGCATACACTTTACAAACGGACCGGGGTTGCCCTTGAGGGAGCAGCTGAAAAGTGCCAATCCCGTTGGACTATTGCTGAAGCGGCCCCTATCAATAATTGCCAATCATCAGCGGGAAAAGCCCTGTTTTCGGCTTCAACCTGAGAGTATGGACCTGAGTGTGACTAAATCGTCGATAATGGTCCTCCCCGGTCTCCTCAGGTCCTACCATTGATGATAAGACTTTCTCATCGATGCAGGCGTAGAACGACAGCGAGGATCCACGGTGAGTCAGGTCAGTTTCAACTGACCGAGCATCCAGATTCCAAACTGGCGACTGATAGACGGCCACGTCCTCCTGTCTCGAAAAACCACAAGCCACTCACGACCTACTTCTGCTGCCGGTTGCTGCTCCTCCTTCCTCCTCGTCGGACTAGGTAGGATTAGTGCCATGTGTGTGACTGACAGCCCTAGGGTCCTGCCGGGGGCTGTGTATACTCTTCGTGGCAGGCTTGGCAGCCGATTGGCAGTCAACTTGTACAGCCTGTGGTTCTCCTGTATGTACATGGTCACTATTCAATAGCAAAGACGTTTCTGCCCAGGCTGGTTCCCACACAGCCTTGAGTTTCCACAAAAGCTGTGTTCATAGCATGGCTGCTGCAGCTGCTACTCCTACTTGCTACTTGCTGCAGCTTCATTCACCTGCGCATCGATCCTCGGTCTGTGAATTCTTTCAAGTGTCGAATATGAAATGTATACCTTGACAAGGGAGATACGCCTTGAGAATATTCCCCGCCTCGCCGGCGCGAAGAAGTGCACTTTGAGGACCATTCTTTGTTGAAGTCTAATCGCGGCCTACCTAATTGTATATCATCTACATTGTTTGCTCTGTACGGGACATGCTCACTCTCTATGGATCGAAGGACTCGCTGAACTCTTCTCTGAGCAGATAAGATTTTCGAGATAATCATCCAATACCTCGTTGTACAATACTGCAATCCACGACTTGCTGTCACACACTCAGCGGAACTGCATCCTTCGCTTCCCCGTGGGGTTTGCTTCTTTTTCTGCCCGAGCTGGGTTGCTGTCACAATCGGCTCGAGTAGTCGAACAGGAACGAGCTGGTCCTTTGGCCGCTGAGCAAGGGTCTTTCGCCGCTATTATAACTGTGCGTTGTAACCTCTTCTTCTTTCCACACCAAGAAGCCGGGTCGAACAGCGCCGGTTCGCATCACGACATTTTCTTTTTTACAACACCAACAACGACAACATCATTAGCGTAGTTCCGTCTTCTGATCGAGCTTCTCTCCCACCATGAATCAAAATCAATCCCCAAACATGGGATCGTACGAGGCTTACAATTACTGCCCAATAGCTACTACCAACAATTCGCCAAGGACGTTTGCTGCGTCTTCTGCCAACAGCCAAAATACGACAAGAGGAAACAACAAGAATAGCACACAAGGGGCACCGGCATACTCTAGTCAGGGCCAGCATATGAGCCGCGGCCTATCAAACGACTCGTATACTTCTTATAGTTCGAAATCAACATACGAAGATAAGCTGTCTCCGGCGACGCCCATGACCTTTCCCGACATGTCCTGGCCTCCGTATCAAGATCCTGATCCCTATCAGTATTCAGAGTATACGGACTATGGCACAACAGAGACATGGATGCCAGAAGACAACACGATACCCCCATCATATTACGAGTCGCCACCAAATGTCAGCTATGTGATCTCGCCTAGTGATAACTTCGAGTTCTCCTACAACACTGGGTAAGTCGACAGCTCGCTATACATCTTGAGCACATTCCTAACCTCTCTTTCCTCTCTAGCCCAAGAACTCCCATGATGCCGGCCTTTCCAACCCAGGAGGCCGTCGAAAACAACATGGTCCAACACGGCGGGATGCCGTCGTCGACCCAGCACGTGTGCTTGGTGCCGGGGTGCGACTCCAAGACGACGTTCAAGCGCAAGGCGGACCTGCAGCGGCACTACGAGCAGATCCACCGGCCGGCGGACCAGAAGAAGCAGTACTTATGCGACTACACGCGGTGCGAGCGCAGCAAGGAGCCGTTCCACCGGATGGACCACTTCCGCGACCACTACCGCGACTTCCACAAGGAGGACCTGCCGCGCAAGAGCGGCGAGTCCGCCAAGTGGTACGCCGACAAGGAGAAGGCCGCCAGTCCCAAGCACTGGCGCTGCGTCAAGTGCCTCACCAAGGTCAGCATCAAGGAATACGGCTTCCAGTGCGGCAGCTGCGAGATGCCCTGCGAACAGCAGAGGCGGAGCATCAGAGGATACAAATGATTGGGTCCGTCCGAGACGTTTGGCCGGCCTTCAGCAGCAGCAGCAGCAGTGGACGATTCAAACTCTGCATCGAATCTCACAACGTTCTTTTCCCGCATCGTTCATGGACTGCCAAGCCTACGAATCTCTCACCTTCGCTTCTTTTTACATATTTCTTGTCTTTGGTCTAAACCACTCAGATTCTACCTGCACGAGTCTCTCTACCTCAACCTTCGCTTTCGACCTATTGTTTCTCTTCCCATCTTCTATTCTCCCCGTTTTCTCCCCTTCGTCAAGCCAAGCGTAGCTTTGCATGTTACAACGGGCTATGCTATGTTACGACTTTCAAGACATGTTCTGTTCCCTTTTCACGCGGCTACAATTCTCATGGGTTTCACGACATGGACGAGTCCTACTGTGATGACTGTTCCCCGGGCGTTTCTGATTGGTTCCCAAATCCCTTCTTTACAGGCGAGGCGTACTTGGTTGTCTTTCTTGCTTGGCGTTCAAGGTTGTTT